CTCAAATATTAGACATATACAACTCAACATTTTTCATGTCCTGGTCATGAATCTATTAACTAAAAGCAACTCGCCCTGTCTCGTTAGTTAATATTAGCATGGCTCTCGCTTTTGAATGAGGCAGAATGGAACAAAATGTTCTAGCGAGCTGAAGTGCCCGTAAGGTTGATCGTAAGTTAGCCCCAAATGAAGAAAAGCACTGCTTACTCCTTCTTTTAGGCACTATAATTACATGTAGTGTAGTAAAGTTTAACATAACCTCTAAATCTGTCCCCTCTCCCACTGCCTTGATATATCTCATATAACCCTTTAGTCTTATCAATATTTCCACAGCCAGTTAGTTTTCTCCTCTCCCGCCACTTCACATTTAACAGCCACACTCCATTAACAAATGTACATATTGCCACAGGCTGACATTCTTTCACAAAGCAGGAAAGCCATTTAATTTCTTTCTCCTTCAGGCTCAGACACCAAATGCTCTTTAAACAAATGAAATAAGACGGTATTATTTCTGAAATAATAGGAAGTTTAACTGGATGCCACGGGCAACCTGTGGAGCATCTTGCAAATAGCGAAGGGAGGTAGAGGGAGCTATCCAGTGAGGCTAGAAATTGGCCCTCTCTTTTGTAGCCTGGTTTCAAGATTTTGTTTGCCTGATTCTTCATTTCCACTGCGGTTAATAACAGGCAAGACAGTTATGGACGATTTCTGTGATGTGGTGGTAAATGCAGCCCGTTGGGGGAGCATTAGCGAGCTCTGACTGCAGTGGGAAAACTTGTTTCTCGCTTTTGTCAAGTAAAGAAGAGTGCAGCTCAAGCATGCCTGCTGGAGGGGAAGAGGAAAAAAAAAAATCAAATAAGTTAGTGCACGCTGGTGAGCAGGAGAAGGGCACAAGGGACGCCACTGGAGTGAAGTTTTATTAGGTGCCTCAGCCAAGTTTATGGAATACAGCGTGGGCTGTGAGTCTCACTGTGTGTGTGTGTGTGTGTGTGTGTGTGTGTGTGTGTGTGTGTGTGTGTGTGTGTGTGTGTGTGTGTGTACCAGACAGAGAATAGATTTTTTGAGGCTGATCCCTCCTATCTATTTCTTCATTGGATCATACCACAGGCAGGACAGAAAAAGCAGTCAAGTGTTATGACACCTCAGACGATATTAGTGCTTCTGACACTTTGCACACTTTTTTACTTTCATCCAAACCTTAGATTTAACCCTGGGACAGTTCACCCCTCAAGAGGCTACAAGATCTGGTTTTCTACAAGACCTTGAGAGGTCACTGTAGCTAATTTCTCCATTTATAAAGACTATTCGATACTTATTTTTTGAATAAGTCCCAAATTTGGGTTTAGCAAGAATACTTTTGAAGGAAACAGGTTATCTGGGGTGATTTGTGACTGAAGGATAGCAGCAAAAGTGAAAACATGGTAGTAATACCTGCCACGGTTATAGGGTTTGGACACAGTGACACAGACAAAAATGGAGGCTGAGCTGATGATTTTCATTGGCGGTGAGCAGAATGGAAAGGACTAAAAAAAAAAAATGAGTAGATCAGAGAGACAGCTCAGGTTACGTAGTTTGGCGACACACTAAGAGAGGCAAGGGGGAGATTGTTTTATACATGTGCAGTGGAGGGGTCTACTGGACAAAGGATGTTGAAGATGGAGCTGCCAGACAGAAGGAAAAGAGGAAAAACCTCAGAGAAGATTCATGGATGAAATGAAGGAGAGGGTTGGTGCGACAGCAGATAGGGACAGGGTGAGATAGAAGCAGATGATCTGCTATGGAAACCCCTAAAGGGAGGAGCCAAAAGAAGAAGCCAAAGATAAAGTTGGGGGTGCGCTCGCTTTGACAAGTGTTGCAACACTGGAGGCTGTAACTGGCAGCAGGCTGCTTGGCCTGGCTTCTGTTTGTTTTGAGCCTCTGCTTTGGACCTCTCTGTCATGTTTCTGGAGCTGGTGCATTTTGGAGCAGTTTGATGGAATTACCAAACAAATAAAACAGCACTAATTAGCACTACGTACGCACGCAGCTCCACATACATCTCACTTTGATTTTAAGTGGGCTGGACAAGTGAAGCTCTCCTTTCTGTCAGTGGAAAGAACTTTACCAACACACTTAATCCCTTGTGCTTATATGATAATGTAAGAAAAAGAAATGCGATTTTAACATTGCATCGGTTTTTCCACATGACAAAGAAATGGTGCTGTGGTAAATGAAAGAAATCTTTCAGCATCTGAGCTTAAATTGTAAGGAATAAATATGTAAAATTACAGAAAAACAAAATCCTGTTAGCCCATTGTCCAGATGTTCCTGTAATTATAAAAACAGAAAGTTTCTGCTAGAAAATGCCCTTTTTTTGAGGACCCACTGTAAAAAACAGAAAGTCAACTGTGGAATAAAAAGAAACTTTTTCTGTTATTTAATTGTTTATAACACATAATTATTTTGGTGTAGAATAAACGGCCATGGGGGAGGTCTACATTAGCAGGAAAAGTTGCAAAACCTATTAAAATACAGTGATAAAATGAATGCCTACTTTCACATCTTTCACAGTATCCTGTGGGCCAGATTCAAGTCTTTGTCCTTGGACCTCATGTTTGACAACATGAGGACTAGCAGTCAACACATTTTGCCTAACTTATAAAGGATCAACTGTTGGAGACACAATCTCTGGGAGTATTGCATCATTAAAGACATCCAATGTAAAAGCCTTGGCCAAAGCAAAATATAGTGCATTAAACATTATAGTTCATATTGCTGATGACTTAACACTTTATCCTTTCTTCACCCTTCAAAACAAAAACCACCATGTTACAAAAATCAATGCCAAGTCCAGAGATGTACGAGTAATCTTACTTTACCAATAACCATCTTTTATATACAGCCATGAGAAAAGATACTGACTGTGACTAAGCGAGAACCTGCTTTTCTTCAGTGTCACAGTAATCCAAACACAGTCATATATATTTTAGCAGGAAGAACCTGATGTAGCAATTTGGTGCCAATTTGAAAAAAATGTAATTAGATTTTTCTGTTACAGCTGTCAAACCATAAGGCACTGAGTGCTGTGTAACAGGGGCAGGAGAACTTGTGGAGGAGGGATCATTTCTACAGCATCCAGCAACAGTTTCTCTTTTCCATTTAATTTCTCCAACTCTTCAACCTTTTCAGTTTTGAATCCTTCATGTTCTGTTTTTTTTTTTTTTTATAATATATTTCCTTGCCATCCACACAATCCCCACCTCTGCTAGCTCTATCTTTTTCTCCCCAGGGAAGCAGAGGTGGTGAAATCATTGTTTAAACACACCACAGGGCAGTTGTTCTTTGCACGCCCAAACTTTGCTGCAGTCTTCACTTTACATATATATATTTATACACATATATATATATACATACAGACACACATACAGCTTGTATGCATGCATGTTTACACTGTGCATGAAGACACAGAAAGATGCTAATTCAATAAATTAACTCTTATCTGCGGTACCTTAGTACACTAAAAGTCCTGAGATGCCCCCCTCCTCTCTTCTGTCTGACTGCCTGCATTACAGTCATTGCTGTGCAACTTCATACAGTGTTATGAGCCTTTACATCAGTTGAGTACCAAACAAAGCGGCCATTAATGGTTAAAGCACCCAGTTGGTAACCTCCCACTACCAAAAAAAACCCCAACTCACAAACAGGCACACACACACATATACACACACGCGTGCGCACACACACACACCTTTAATGACATCTTTTCTGCGGCACATTAACTATTGTGCGGTAATTAATGGGAAAGTCATGGTGTTCAAAAAGCCAGTCTTCTCTCTGCAGACTAGAAGCTGTTCACCACAACAATGGCTTAATGAGTAAACACACCGTGCGTCTCATGAATAAATTATTTGTGCCTTGCAATTAATTTTCCCTATTGAAGCTTGGAGAAAAAAAAAAGCAGGACTGCTACCAGTCTTCATAAATCAAAAAAAGGGAGGGGTTAGGGAGAAAGAACATGACAGGAACTTTGAGCGTGTGTGTGTGTGTGTGTGTGATCATCTGTAATGCGTTGATCTGTGTGTGCACACTGGCTCATATTTGATTAATCTTTTTCCTCCTCTGCTTGGTTGTGAGGTTACGCATGTCTGAGTGCGTTTGTTGTATTTGTGTAAATGTGTTTTTATGTTTTACAGAAATTTGTGTTTTAAAGCATTCTTGGGATCTAAATATAATATTTAATATTTAATGTAATAAACGTAGACCACTTGTGTGTATAGCCAAAAAATAAATAAATAACTTACTGAGAGAAGTTTCCATGCAATCGGTCGGACCTGTCGAGGGATTCCGGACCAGCTGAGTTTCCGCAGCTCATCTGGAAAACAAACACACAAGAGGCTCTTTTTACACACCATTCTCTGAAATATGATATACACCATCCTGTATACTACTTAATATCTAAGGTTTAGGCATTAAAACATATTAACAGTGCATTCCAAACTGAAGTCACTGATGGATTTTATTAAATAATTAACCTCATACAATGAGCAGTTAATAGAAAAGCTAATCTCTTCTTGTTATTTGACCCAACCTGTCATCAGGCTTGTTGACAATCCAACCACTGCAACTTGTTATGTTATGAGACAATGTTACCTAATGGGAAGGCTAACTTGTCAGGGTATTTTTTCATTACCAAAAATAAACACTGCTTTGCATTTAGCTTCCAATGGGAGTTTATATTTACTGCTTCAGGGGGCAGAGCAGATCATCAACTAATCAGAGGGTTGGTGGTTCGATTTCTGGGTGCTCCAATCTACTAGATACTGATACTGAACCCCGAGTTGTTCCCACTAGGTTCATCGGCGTGTGAATGCTAGATAGAAAGCCCAGAGGTGTTAAAGCCCACTCACATCCTGGGCCTTCTGACCTCAAGAAATCACATGATAGGGTGGGGCTAGGTTTCACAATGAGTTCAGTCGAAACCTTGGCTGATTGGGATCTACACCCGTTTTGGGTGATCGTGGCTCAAGAGTTTGTCTTGTAATCGGAAGGTTGCCGGCTCGAGCTCCGGCTCCGACAGTCTCGGTCGTTGTGTCCTTGGGCAAGACACATCACCTAGTGCCTACTGGTGGTGGTCAGAGGGCCCGGTGACGCCAGTGTCCGGCAGCCTCGCCTCTGTCAGTGCGCCCCAGGGC